GAAGGAAGGAAGGAAGGAAGGAAGGAAGGAAGGAAGGAAGGAAGGAAAGGAGGCAGGAGGGATCCTGGGAAGACAAACAGCAGCAATTGAGTGCAGACCAAATTCAAAACTTCTCCACTTGCCTGTTTTATCATTAGATTCTTAGATGCGGGTTATCTGGTTAGTGACGGGAAACTGAATTAATTCATTAATTCATTCACCAAATAACACACAGAGCCCTGGGGTGGAAAAGAGCTCAGCCCATAAGATAAAGAGAAGATGGGCCAGGGTAGCTGGGTCAGAGTGTGAGAGAGGGAGAGATTTGGATAGTGAGATTTGCAAGCCCTTAAAGATAGAAGATGAGGTGAGTCTTTATCCTGGGAGGTATGGGAAGCCTTCAAAAGGTTTTAAACAGAGAGTGGCTTGATTGGATGTACGTTAGAATAACCACCTCCCCTGCCCCCGAAGCTTTACTGTGACAAATGGATTGGATGAGTCCAGACCAGGAAGAGATGTATGTGACCATAAACAAATAAAACTAAATTTTAGAAAAACAGGCAGAAGGATCTTCACAGAACTGGACCTTGAAGAATGTGTTTGCCAGGAAAAGAGAATGAAGAAGTACGTTCTTATTGGAGGGAACTGCAGGTATTACAGTATGTGGCCCTTCAGGAAGGCAAGAGGAAACTAAAGGTTAGTGACCCTTAACCCTCTATATGCCCCACATGTCCAGCTCACAAGTGTTAAATCAAGTTTAGCCTAAAGCTGTCTCCTTATGTATTTTAAGTTCAGCCTGAAGGTTTTTCTGTACATCGTGAACTATAACAAGTGGAGGTGTAAACAGAAGGTGGTCTACACTTGTGCCAATCACCAAGTTTTGGGCAATCAAATGTAGCCAACTGTTTGAATTGTGTTCAAATAAGGCAAACGCCGAGCTGTAATCAATCCAGCTGTTTCTGTACCTGACTGGTTTTCTGTACGTCACTTTCCTTTTTCTGTCCATAAATCTTCCACCACATGGCTGTGCTGGAGTTTCAGCCTACTCTGGCCCGAGGCTGCCTGATTTGTGAATCCTTCATTGGCTCAATTAAACTCTATTTATTTAGAAATGGAGTCTTGCTCTGTTGCACAGGCTGGAGTGCAATGGCGCAATCTCAGCTCACTACAACCTCCACCTTCTGGGTTCAAGCAATTCTTGTGCCTCAGCCTCCCGAGTAGCTGGGACTACAGGTGCCCGCCACCACACCCAGCTAATTTTTGTATTTGTAGTAGAGACGAGGTTTTGCCATGTTGACTAGCCTGGCCTCAAACTCCTAACTTGAAGCCATCCGCCCTCCTCAGCCTCCCAAAGTGCTGGAATTACAGGCGTGAGCCACCGTGCCCAGTCAATTAAACTTCTTTAAATTTAATTAGTCTGAAGTTTTTCTTTTATCACAAGTCACATCAGTCCCTCAGGCCCCTGCTCAAATGCCGCCTCTTCCTGAAAGCCATCCCTAAGTAGTCTCTGTAAAGAGCCACCGCAGCCCCTTTCTTTGCTTTATCCTTCACAGCACTTATCACTACCTGAAATTATGCCACACAGCTATTTACCAACTTCGCATTGTAGTTAAGCTTATCAAGTATGAAGCCAGACTGCCTGGGTTCAAATACCAGCTCCACTACTTCCTTGTCATGTGACCTTCAGTTGTTCAGCCTACGTTACAGTTGAGGGGTCATAATAGTAGCTGTCTATAGGGCTTTGTGAGGATAAATGAATTAGTGTGTGTGCCAGTGTTCTAACATTGCCTGCATTTCCATTTCTTCCCAAAGCAGCCCAATTACTTATTAACAAACTGCTTTTCCAGTAACATGTGTTCACCATTAAGTCGATCTCCTCCCGCCAAAATGTAAGCTCTATTTTGTTTTCCATTGTATCCCCAGTGCCTAGAACAGTGCCTGTTGCAAAGTAAGCTTTGAGTTAAAAAAAAAAAAAAAAAAAAAAGATGAAAGGATGAAAATGGCAGACTGCCTAGCAGAACTAGCACCTCGTGATGCTTCATTGTTGCTATGGTGACGATCCAATCTGCACGAAGATCCCAGCTTCCTTAACCGTGTTCTTACCTCCATCCAGCTCACCCATTGGCCACCTGTATCTCCTGCGGTAGCAGCCAGAAAACTACAACTCCCAATAGGCTGAGCGCCACCAGCGCTTTCGCGCCCAAGTCCATTTCCTAAGCGTGAGGGCCTGCGCAGTAGAATCCGCGGGCCCGGAACTCCATCTGAGGTAGTGCATGTTGAGTGGTGTTTCCTTCGTCGGCAGGCAGGAGAGGAGTGGGGAGGACCCGTTTACCCACGGGGCATTGTGGGGCCCGCTCAGCTTTCCTTGTCCAAAGGGTCTGGGCCCCGGGGCTGCAGTCTCTGGGTGACGAGGCGGGGGCAGGAAACGTGCTTCGGTCTCCATGGTTACGAGCCGCTCAGCGCGCAGGACGGGGATTCAAAGGTTGGCGTTGCCACAGTAACCCTGGAGTGGAAGGGGACAGGGATTAGAGACCTCGCGGGAGAAATTAGACTAACAGCCTGGGAACTGGAGGGATGGAGAGTGAGCGATCTCATCTCACTGCAACCTCTGCCTCCCGGATTCAATCGATTCTCCTGCCTCAGCCTCCCAAGTAGCTGGGATTACAGGTACATGCCGTCACGCCTGGCTAATTTTTGTATTTTTAGTCGAGGCAGGGTTTCACCATTAGCCGGGCCTGGTGGCGGGCGCCTGTAGTCCCAGCTACTTGGGAGGCTGAGACAGGAAAATGGCTTGAACCCGGGAGGCGGAGGTGCAGTGAGCTGAGATTGCGCTACTGCACTCCAGCCTGGATGACAGAGCGAGATTCCGTCTCAAAAAAATATATATATATATATTTATATATATAATATATATTTTATATATTTATATTATATATTATATATTATACATGTATTTTTATATATTTATATATAATATGTATTTTATATATATTTATATATTATATATATTTTATATATATTATATATTTTATATATAATATATATTATATATTATATATTTTATATATATTTATATATATATTTTATATATGTGTGTGTGTGTATATATGTGTGTGTGTGTGTGTATATATATCCTTTGGGTCTTCTGCTATCTGAGGGTCAGCTACAGGCAAAGGCTGGTTATGCTTTTGGTTGCAGAATGGCTGGAGCCAGGCCATCCCTGGAGAGGGAGGAACCTATGGCAAATTAATCAGAGCACAATCCAGACCGCCTGGAAGGAGGTAGCAGTTTGGCATATTCCTGAGTCCCTTTGGACTCCGTTTGGCTACAGCCACAAAAGCCTTTACTTCTGTGAGTAAAGTCAGAAATGTTGAAATGGAATTTTCACAGTGTTCATAAAAGAGGCAGATGGACTACCCTGCACAGCATGGGTGCCCCAGCTGGTTTACTCCAGGCCCCACTCCCAGCATTGTAACAAGAGCTCCAAAACTGGCTCCCCCATGACTGGGCCTAAGTCACTTGCCCCTCATGTAAATCCATAATTGTGATTAGGGGAGTGAAATATCCTTGGAGGTGGAGGTGGCAACAGGTTTTTTTGATGTTCGTAGGATGTGTAAGAAGCGGACGCTGGAAATAAGACATGGGTCCTTTTAAGAAGAGGGAAGAGGGATGGATGTTGGGTGGATAATCGAGAAACATCCATAACCAAGCACCAGGAGTTCAGTATCTATCTGTCTCCATCCACCTTCTGGGGTTATAACAGCAGGCATCTTGTTCATCACTGGAAACTCAGCATATAGGCACCCAATAAATGCTAGTGTATTAAATAAAATAATTATTGAATCCTACTGACCACTACTCTCTCTTATTATTATTATTTTTTAAGAGACAGGGTCTCACTCTGTTGCCCAGGCTGAACTGCAGTGGCATGATCATAGCTTACTGCAGCCTCAAACTCTTGGGCTCAAGTGATCTTCCTGCTTCAGTCTCCCAGGTAGCTGGGACTACAAGCATGTGCCACCACTCTTTAAGAAAAATAAATCTCAATCCTAGTGCGTGTCTGCCTGCCTGCCTGCCTGCCTGCATGCCCTCCCTCCCTCCCTCCCTCCCTCCTTCCTTCTTTCCTTCCTTCCTTCCTTCCTTCTTTCTTTCCTTCCTTCCTTCCTTCCTTTGAAAAATAGGCTGAGTGCAGTGGCTTATGCCTATAATCCCAGCACTTTGGGAGGCTGAGGCAGGTGGATTGCCTGAGGTCAAGAGTTCGAGACCAGCTGACCAACATGGTGAAATTCCATCTCTACTAAAAATACAAAACTTAGCTGGGTGTGGTGGCAGATGCCTGTAATCCCGGTTACTCGGGAGGCTGAGGCAGGAGAATCACTTGAACCCAGGAGGCAGAGGTTGCAGTGAGCCAAGATCCTGCCATTGCACTCTAGCCTGGGAGACAAAGCGGGACTCCATCTCAAAAAAAAAGAAAAAAAAAAAGGAAAATAAATCTCAGTGCTAGTCTCGTCTCCCCTCCCCTCCCATCCCCTCCCCTCCCCTCCTATCCCCTTCCCCCTCCCTCCCTCCCTCCCTCCCTTCCTTCCTTCCTTCCTTCTCTTCTCTCCTCCCTTGTAGGTGTGTGTGTATGTGTGTGTGTGTGTGTGTGTGTGTGTGTGTGTGTGTATCTGTCTCTCTTTCTCCCCCAGCATTTTCATATGAGCAGTCTCTCCTTCAGGCTGGCATCATATTGTTTACATCACCTCTCTAAGCTTCAGCCTCCTATGAAATAAGGACAGCAAGAGTGCTGATTTAATGATATTGCTGTAAGGATTAAATGCAACTGTGCATAGGAAGCATTAGCCAAGCACTTGACATGGGGTGTGTTCGATAAACAACAGCAACAACGATGATCACGGGAATCTGATTCATTTATTTTTCAGGAAACGTTTATCAAGCATCTGCTACCTGTCCCACCCTGCAGTGGGCATTGGGGAATGGCCAAGCAGGTGAATGAGATCAGGTTCCCGTCCTCCAGGAGTGCAGCATGGTAAGTATGACAGACATATAGGCACACAATGATAGTATCAGGACATTATGTCTAGTTGTGGAGATATGATGTAAAGTGAGTTAGAGGTGCACAGAGCAGGGATCCAGAACCCAGCAGAGTGTGTGGGGAGGTCAGCAAATCTAAGGCAAAGTCTCCCAGAGGAAGCAAGTATGCTGAAGTTAAAGGATGTAGGGAGTATACAGGAAAAGAGGCCATGAAGGGAATCCCAGCTATAAAAAAAAAAAAAAAAAAAAGTCATGATTGCAGGGTGCAGTATGTCATGCCTATAATCCCAGCACTTTGGGAGGCCAACATGGGTGGAATCGCTTGAGCCCAGGAGTTTGAGACCAGCTTGGGCAACATGGTGAAACCCCTTCTCTACAAAAAATACAAAAATTAGCTGGGCGCAGTGGTGGACACCTGCAGTCAGTCCCAGCTGATCAGGCGGCTGAGGTGGGAGGATTGCATGAGCCCAGGAGTTTGAGGCTGCAGTGAGCTGTCATCATGCCACTGCACTCCAGCCTGGGCAACAGAGCGAGACCCTGTCTGGAAAAAAAAAAAAAAAAAAAAAAGTAATGACAAACTCACTCCTTATTTTCTAACAAAATTTATCCCTTGAAATTGACAACCACTGGTTCTACATCTGTTGATCTCTCTGTCTGTCTCCCTTTATGTCTTTCAATGTTGTCCTGCCCAGTTTTGAAGCCGTGGGTGGCGGCCTTTCAGTGCTCCTCGAGCAGCTGATTAAATCAACCTCCAACACTTCTCTTCTTATTTGGCTCTCACACTCTGGGGCCATAATGCACTCACCCCAATGGCCCTTGGCCCATGTACCAAACAACTAGAAATAACCCCCATGTCCCATAACCTGCAGAATTATGCAAATTAGCCAATCCATGGAAAGCCCTTGAAACCTAGCTAACCCCATCTAAAGTGTCCTATACAAAAACCCCGTCTCCTGCAGTGCCAGCTTGCTATTACATTTCCTCAGGAGCAGCCTCCTCTGTGTGGCTCCCTGGGTGATGATGGCCTCCTCGCCATCCGAATGTTACTGTATTACGTCTTGCCATGAAAAGAATCTGGAAATCTTACGAAGCAGTCTGTGTAGTTTTTTACGTGTTTCTTCCACTGGGGGTCCTCTGGGCTTCTTTGTCACATCTGGGGGTGTTACAGGCCGAAAGAATGAGGGTTGTGACCAACTCAGCATACCACTGGAGGCTATATCAGCAAACAGAAAACTGCTCACATGAAAGCAGGATGTTGGAAAACTGACAGCTGCATCTGCCACCAGAAGGGGTGCTGAGGGCAGTCGCACCCCAAGCACAGTGTTCCTTGTGATTATCTATAGGAACATCTGAAGCCTGTTGTACAAAGAAAGCAATTTTGTGAACCTGTGATAAATCAAGCAGCTGACCAACCATTACCTCTCCCTCCCTGCCCTTTCTACCTAATAAATACGAAGGGCTGTAAAAGTTCTGGGCCCTTGTTCACTAGGAGCAAGGAGACCCTGACCCCTTCTTTTAAAGTAGATCTTTTTGTCTTTGTCTTTATTTCTGCATTTGTCCCCCTTCGTTCAATCCAGTAGCAACTGACAGCGACAAGCAGTGCCCAAACAGGGAGGTGGGCAAAGAAGGTCTGCTGGAGCAGAGAAAATGAAATTGACCAGATGAATGAGAAACCCGGGGAAGAGTCTGCCGCTGTCAGCAGACACAAGGCCAGTACCCTAAGGAGGTACTGGGATATAAGGTCAGTGTCCTAAAGAGGTACTAGGAATGGAAAGTTTCTGAATCAGAGTAACATGGGGCAGAATTTGTCTATTGAAGAGCAGCATTATATGCAGTTGCTTAAAGTTTTACTTAAACAATCTGGTACTCAGGTTAGTTATCAAACACTAAACTAAAATGCTGCAGATTATTATGCATAACCCGCGTATATCTTGCGGTATATCTCCTAATGCTATCCCTCCCCACTTCCCCCACCCCATGACACATTCCAGTGTGTGATGTTCCCCTTCCTGTGTCCAAGTGTTCTCATTGTTCAATTCCCACCTACGAGTGAGAACATGCGGTGTTTGGTTTTCTGTCCTTGCGATAGTTTGCTCAGAATGATGGTTTCCAGCTTCCTCCATGTCCCTACAAAGGACATGAACTCATCCTTCTTTATGGCTGCATAGTATTCCATGGTGTGTATGTGCCACATTTTCTTAATCCAGTCTGTCATTGATGGACATTTCGGTTGGTTCCAGGTCTTTGCTATTGTGAATGTGCTGCAATAAACATACGTGTGCATGTGTCTTTATAGCAGCATGATTTATAATCCTTTGGGTGTATACCCAGTAATGGGATGGCTGGATCAAATGGTATTTCTAGTGCTAGATCCTTGAGGAATCGCCATACTGTTTTCCACAATGGTTGAACTAGTTTACAGTCCCACCAACAGTGTAAAAGTGTTCCTATTTCTCCACATCCTCTCCAGCACCTGTTGTTTCCTGACTTTTTAATGATCACCATTCTAACTGGTGTGAGATGGTATCTCATTGTGGTTTTGATATGCATTTCTCTGACGGCCAGTGATGATGAGCATTTTTTCATGTGTCTGTTGGCTGCATAAATGTCTTCTTTTGAAAAGTGTCTGTTCATATCCTTTGCCCACTTTTTGATGGGGTTGTTTGATTTTTCTTGTACATTTGTTTAAGTTCTTTGTAGATTCTGGATATTAGCCCTTTGTCAGATGAGTAGATTGTAAAAATTTTCTCCCATTCTGTAGGTTGCGTATTCACTCTGATGATAGTTTCTTTTGCCGTGCAGAAGCTCTTTAGTTTAATTAGATCCCATTTGTCTATTTTGGCTTTTGTTGCCATTGCTTTTGGCGTTTTAGTCATGAAGTCCTTGCCCATGCCTATGTCCTGAATGGTATTGCCTAGGTTTTCTTCTAGGGTTTTTATGGCTTTAGGTTTAACATTTCATTAATTTTTAAAAGAGATTATAATGTCTTACTATGAATAATCATACATAAGTATCATAGAAACTATTCACATTGATTATATGTTCAAGTTATTATTTAGGGGGTTAAATGAACATATTACATATAATTAAAAGGAGGTTTTTCCGCTTGGTTTTGCTTCTTTTTAATGCAGCTATTGAAACACCTAAAATTACATCTAGACTTTGCATTATATTTCTGTTAAACTGCACTGCTCTAAGCCACTTTTAAAATTCATTCAACAAATATGTTTGTCCACCTCACATATTTCAGGCAGCAGTTTAGGGGTTGAATATATATCAGTGACCTAAACATACAAAACACGATAACTAGAGAGAGTATATAGAATGATCATGGAATGGAAAAAATATATGTACAGATAATAAGAGGTATAAAGAATAGTGCAGATTGAGAGTTTCAAAGCACTCGGAGATTCACTCCTTTACACAGAATTCATTGGTATACGTCTCATGTCTGCATAAATCCACCCATAGTGACACCCATACCTTATCAGGGGTATGCTGACATATTTCATTAATGCTCTACATATGTCCTGCTGTCCAATGGAGCTTCATCTCTTTGACCAATAGAATTGGAAGTTTTTATTTTGAAAAGATTTCAGATCCAATTCAGGCTTCATCATTAAGCACGCTCTCCTTCAAAAGTATGAGCTAAGGTTTTTCTTTTCCACTTTTCAAGTACAACCAAAATAGTACACATTCAGAACATAAACAATCCCTGAATCGTTACAGTGGACACCACCATGTAAACGCACACCCAGATCAAGAAACAGAACATCAGTAGCTGCTGGACGTCCCTGGGACCCCTCCAGTCTCTCCTTCCTAAGGTGTCCACTCACTAGAAGAATAATACCATCTAGTGTAATCATTTCTAGCATGAATTCCTCCTCAATAATTTTACAAAATCTTGGCTGAGCTCTATCTGAGACATCTCGAGTATGATCACCTCATGATTCGTGTCCTGTTCTGTGTCCATGGGGTGCCTCTGCAGACCTCCCCCGCCAGGGCTCCCCGTGATTCCCTTCACATTGCATTTGGTCTGCTCATGAGAAAGAAGACCCACGGTCAGTAGAATCTGAATTTAAAACACACATCTTCGAAATACATTTCGATTGTAAAGAAAATGGAAAACATTTTGCCAGATGAAATATATTCATGTATTTATGTATGACAAATGTGAATATTATAAAAGTTGAAAGTACAGAGAAAGTCATGTTCATCATATTACATATTTCTAAGACAGTCACACAGGCACAGTAAACATTTTGGCATTTGTTGTATGTGTTTCGTGGGTAACATTATACATTGATAGGTTGTAATTTATAACTGGACGTTCATTTGGCCTGGCTGATTACCCCCGGTTGTGGCACTTGCCTGAGGACGGTACTTAAAATGTACTTGTTAAAGGAGTTAAATAAATACCTCATTTTATATTATGTAGTTGATGATAGGTGTTTGTCATATGAGATTGTATATTTTCTGTACAGTTGAAAGTATTCCTACCTATGACTTAAACAGGACATAATATGCCATGTAGCTACGTCTCTGTGGCTTACCTGAACCTCCAGTATTAGCCCACATTTAATGCATTCTCATTTCTCACTATAGGTGCCCTTACTCAGGGATATTTGCCTTGAGTAAGGGAAATGAGGGAAATCCCTTCCCCAATCCCTTGAGGAAGAGATTGATAGGTAATAGTTTCAGTGGGAGAATAGGCAGGAGTGATAAATGAGAAGGAAAACAACTGGCCATGAGGGACAGATGTGGGGAAACTAGCTGCTTCCTTTGCTGCATTATCAGCATAAGCGTTGTCTCCGGTTTCCTTGGGCAGTGGAGCAGCCTGAAGGAGAATTTTTATTAAGGAAGCACTGACGATGGAGGAACCTTGTGTAGTGAGAAAACCTCTTTCTGCCCATATAACAGCATGGTGATGTAGGATGTGGAAGGCATACTTGGAATCAGTGTAGATATTGACACATAGTGCCTTTGCAAGGGTAACAGCCTGGGTTAAAGCAATGAGTTTGGCTTGTTGAGAGGTAGTGGAAGGGGGCAGGGCAGTAGCTTCAATGACAGATGTGAAAGACACTACAGCATAGCCTGCCCTTGCCGGTGACTGACGATTGGGCCTTGAAGAACTACCATCAATAAACCAAGTGTTTATGGACATGCAGTCCAGTAGGTCTCAGCCTCATTTTGTCCAGCTCCTACTCAAGATGGAGTTGCTCTGGTTCACATGTCTGTGACAAAATGTCTACGGAGGCTGGCTCACACCTATAATCCCAGCACTTTTGGAGGCTGAGGCGAGTGGATCATGAGGTCAGGAGTTCGAGACCAGCCTGGCCAACATGGTGAAACCCTGTCTCTACTAAATATACAACAATTAGCTGAGCGTGGTGGCACAGGCCTGTAATCCCAGGTACTCGGGAGGCTGAGGCAAGACAATTGTTAGAAGCTGAGAGGCGGAGCTGCAGTGAGCTGAGATCGTGCCATTGCGCTCCGGCCTGGGCAACAAGAGCGAAACTCCGTCTCAAAAGAAAAAAAAAATGTCTGTGGAAGGCGTGCAGTCTCCTATAGCTGGGACATCAGCGGTCTGTGGTGAGAGCCTGCTGTCCCTCTGTCCCTTCACTCACCCCTCCCCTAGGAGCCTTTCAGTGCTGGGAACTGGCCCTAGCGTTCCGCTACCCCACACCACACTCCCAGGTTCCTCGCTCTTCAGCCCTGGCGTCTGCATCGCCTCTGTATCAACTCTTGGTGTTTTCTCTCCGAAGATCTGCTCTAAGTCTGCTGGTTTACCCAGTATCTTGGTTTCTCTCGGTGGGAGTGGTGCTTCCGGGCTGTGTCCAGCCAGCCATCTTGACCCTCCTCTAGGCGTGATTTTGAAAATTTGATCTGCTCCCCTGACTTCCTGGAAACATACGCCGAATGGGAAATGTGTCTGCGAGACGTTACAACATCCCGAGGAGCCTTCTCCTCATCGGGGGGGATCAGAGGCTGCCCTTGCTCTTCTCCCAGTCGTCTCTTGTGAGATGTGAGGCTTCATGTGAATACTGTGTGGAGCCAACACCATGGAAGGCCGGGTGGACACCTGGAGAAATGTTCCTTCCTTGTGGTGTTTTTGGAGCCCATGGATCAGCCTCCCTGGGGTCAGTCCTACCTCCTGTGCTTGCATTCAGTAGAGCCAGGACACGCTCTATATATTTTTACTCCATTGAAGCTGAACTTTCAGTCATTTGCCACACAAGAGCTGACACAGATCCAGAGGACATTGCAGATTGCTGCCCTGGGTGATTTAAAAAATTAATCTGGAGACGACATTAGGAGATAGAGTGTTGTAGACCTGGATCCATTACTTGCCAGTTAATGGAACTTTGGTATTTGGAGTCTTTACTGTTTTTTTCTGAGACAGAGTCTCACTTTGTTGTCCAGGCTGGAGTGCAGTGGTGCGATCTTGGCTCACTGCAACCTCCGCGTCCCCGATTCAAGCGATTCTCCTGCCTCAGCCTCCCAAGTAGCTAGGATTACAGGCATGGGCCACCACGCCCGGCTAATTTTGTATTTTTAGTAGAGAAGGGGTTTCTCCATTATTGTCAGGCTGGTCACGAATTGCCGACCTCAGGTGATCTGCCTGCCTCAGCCTCCCAAAGTGTTGGGATTACAGGTGTGAGCCACTGTGTCCAGCCTGCATTCCATTTATCTTTGCCACACTGTATATATGATGTATATACTGGAGAAACGGGTCCTAATTTTATAATATCTAGTCTCTAGCTATTAAAGAGTTTGTCAAGATATGACAAAAGCAGAGTTAGTCAACTAATATATTTCGTACACTTTGTGTTAACATTAATTAAAACGCTATCTTCTGAAAAAGACGTTTGGAAGTGAAATGGTAACATCAGCTCTCAGTGACACACGTCACTTAGAAAAGAAGCCTAGTGGCTTCTTTTTAATGGAGTTGTATTTTTAACTTCATGTACTCAAATGAATCAATAAAACTCATATTAATATATACCTGGCTTTGTTTTAATAACAACATATTTTTATTTTTTTTCATAAAATTATGGCATTCAATCTTCAAATGCAAAAGTTCAGTTGTACTTCAGGTTAGGGTATAGAAAAATAACAAAATGCTGTTTCTCTCACCATAACAATAATAAAGCACATGGAGCGGCAGAATGCGAGTCCGTGAAGACTTTTATGAATTCCCAGGCGTAACCCCAACTTGGGCATCCACTGCTGTGATCCTAATTCACATTTAAAGGCCCTGAGACCTGCACTAGCAGGTCAACCCCCGCCGAATCTCATAGGCACACACGGGATAGATAGAACAGAACTGCACAGACTTTAAAAATGAGCTAATATGAAAACCTCACTTCATAGAAGACCTAAAATAAATGGATACTTTGTGTCGAATACAGATGAATCATAGAGTCTCATAACATTCAAATGTCCAGGGTACAAATCAAAATTACTTACAATACAAGGATGAGCCATGGCTGGGCGCAGTGGGCCACATCTGTAATCCCAGCACTTTGGGAGGCCGAGGTGGGTGGATCACTTCAGGTCAGGAGTTCAAGACCAGCCTGGCCAACATGGTGAAACCCCGTCTCTACTAAAAATACAAAAAATTAGCTGGGCGTGGTGGTGGGCGCCTGTAACTCCAGCGACTCGGGAGGCTAAGGCAGGAGAATTGCTTGAACCTGGGAGGTGGAGGTTGCAGTGAGCTGAGATCATACCACTGCACTCCAGCCTGGGCGACAGCAAGACTCTGTCTCAAAAAAAAAAAAAAAAAAAAGAAAGAAAGAAAAGTAAGAGAAGTCATCGCTATCAGATCTGCTCTAAAAGAACTACAAATCAAAGTTTTTCAGACAAAAAAGAAAACTGCAGAATGAAACTTGGAAAATCAAGAGTGAAGGAAGAGCGGCAGAAATGGGAAATACCTGGAAATCCGTTAATAGGCCATTTTCCTCGAGAGCTATTGAAACAGTCAATGTATACAAAACTCAATGATTAAAAGTACAAGATACATAGCAATTTCCCAAGGGTTTTTTTTTTTTTTTTTTTTTTTTTTTTTTTGATGGAGTCTCCATCTGTCGCCCAGGTTGGAATGTGATGGTGCGACCTCGGCTCACTGCAGCCTCCGCCTCCCGGGTACTTGTAGAATAATGTACTTACATTATTCTAGTAATAACAGCAATAGATAAAATGTTAAAGGGACAACGTATGTAAAACCAATACCATTAAGAAATACCTTGAGTCTCTTCGATTGAGAGGTTTTGTTAGCTTTCCTGCTTTTTGTGGTAGAATGGTGAGACATCAGAGTGTCCATAAAAGCTGGTTTTCAGGTTCATCAGGAGAATTTTCCTTTCTGGAGCCTGTCATGCGTAAACACAACTGCCTTGACTTACTCACCCTGGGTCTTCGGGAAACGTGTCAATGGATGGAACAGTCATGTATCGAGCCACGGTTAGAAAAGATTTACAAGCACGATTGTTCTTTTCTTCAGATATTCTTGAGGGAAAGGCATTGGGGATACAGCCCATGGGTATCTTCCCGGTGACGTATCTGTCCTCAAAGCCTGTGTGATGGGCAAATGTGACCCAGCCCTCCTCTGTTTCGGACACTGGAATCAAGGATGCATTTCTACTCATTCATTTCCAATGAGAACGCTGGATTCTCTCTTCCAGACTCTCTGACTGACTCCCTTTACAAACTCTGCTGTCTAAGATAGGACACGAGGTAAGGGTCCCTTTCACTAAGGCTTCTGAAGAGCAGCTCCAGGGCCCGGTCCCCTTTCTTCTCCACCATGCTCAGCAGGGCGTCGGTCTTGCTCTGCCGTGTCCTTGCCTGCTCCACCAGCTCCTTCTCATTCTCACTGAGAACCTCATTGTCTTGGAGATCATCGAGCACCCCTTTCAGGTCCCCAATCCTGGCCTGGAGTTGCCGGTGGTTCTCCCTCACAAAGGCTGCACCTGGATGAAAGGGGGAGTTGCGGACTCTGAGAATTGCTCTCTTACAGGATTTGGGGTCCGCACCAAACGAAGATTCATAATTCCATGGCGGGGGATGGGTCTTCATCTTGTGTCTGTTGCCTAACCCACATTCATTTCATTTTGGATATTTTACTTCCAGTTCTTGATTAACTTTGTAGTCTCATAGTTACTATATATTTCTCAAAGTTCAATATAGAACTAGTTTAACTTACGGTTCCCCAGATGCAAGACATTTACCCCAATAACTTGCTGTTTCCTGCTCCTTGGTGTGGACGTGATGTCCTCACGTCCTCTCGTAAGTAAATCATACTCATTGTTTGTATTTTTCTCTGGCATCGCTTGTTCTTTGTAAATGACAAGGTTAGAAGAAATGGAGCCTTACTTTGTGAAGTTAAAGCACTCAAAGGCCTCTTGATATCAGATACATCCTCCTGGCTTTAGTGTAAACATTTCACTAACCTGAGAAGGTACGAGGGGCTGATGCAGCTCCAAGTTGGATATCCACTACAAAAGAGGGAAGAATTGGAGATGACATACAATGAATCATATACCCTTACTGAGCTTTTCTAGTCTTTCATGCGCCAATGAAAATAATTTAATTCTCCATATTTTATAAGGCAGGGATCTTGTTTGGCATACTAATATACTAATGAAACCCCAGTAAGTCAAGAGCCACTCACTGCCCATTCAGGAAATGTATCAGAGAAAGCAACACATTTTCCCAATATTCTTTCTTTTTTTGTTTTTTGTTTGTTTATTCATTTTTTGAGACAGAGTTTCACTCTGTTACCAAAGCTAGATTGCAATGGCCCAATCTCAACTCACAGCGTCTGCCTCCCAGGTTCAAGCAATTCTCCTGCCTCAGCCTCCTGAGTAGCTGCGATTATAGGCATGCGCCACCATGCCTGGCTAATATTTGTATTTTTATTGGAGACAGGGTTTTGCCATGTTGGCCAGACTGGTCTCGAACTCCTGACCTCAGGTGATCCGCCCACCTCGGCCTCCCAAAGTGCTGGCATTACAGACATAAACCACCGCGCCCAGCCCATTTTTCCAATATTCTTTCTACGCACAGGTGAATGTCTTAGGAACTCTGAGGGTTACAACAATATCATATCATACTGTCTTACATAAATTACAGTCAAGGTAAATGTGTTTTAGACATGAACAATCAACATTTAAGGAGTAAATTTTTATACATGTTGGTACCAGGACCTATAAGTTGACAGACGATTTCACAATTGGAGCTACCCATTTGAAAATAATTGAAATGATGTTTCCCAGGAGGCCTTCAACATGGTCTTATCCTTTTATCTAAAATCCCTGATGTGGTTTAAAGTTCTGATGAATTTTGTGACCCCCTCCGTTGGTAGCAGCTCAGTCTCCGTGTCACCAACACAGAATGAATCTGATGACTCTGAGTCTCCCACTGACTATGAGGTGCAGAAATTGGGTTTCTGGTCATTTGACTTCCAGGAAGAGCATCGGCTTCATGGAACAGCACATTCACCCAGAGGCCCAGCCACCCACAGTCTCCCCATGTCATCCAGAATTTCCCTATTAAGGAATTAGCATGGTCATGACACCTGGAAAAATCTTTTTTTTTTTTTTTTTAGATGGAATTTCCCTCGTTTCCCAGGCTGGAGTGCAGTGGCACCATCTTGGCTCACTGCAACCTCCACCACCCGGGTTCAAGTGATTCTCGTGCCTCAGCCTCCTGAGTAGCTGGGACTAGAGGCACCCTCCACCACGCCTGGTTAATTTTTGTATTGTAGTGAAGACAGGGTTTCACCACGTTGGCCAGGCTGGTCGAGGCAGGTGGATCACTTGAGGCCAGGAGTTTGAGACTGGCCTGGCCAACAGGGCAAACCCCCATCTCTACTAAAAATACAAAAATTAGCCAGGTGTGGTGACACGTGCCTGTGGTCCCAGCTACTTGGGAGACTGAGGCAGGAGAATCACTTGAACCAGGAGGTTGCAGTGAGCCAAGATCGTATCACTGCACTCCAGCCTGGGTAACACAGCGAGACTCTGTCAAAAAAAACAAAATCTCCTGTTCTTTACCCCCAGGTGTGAGGGGTTTCCATTCCCATGGCCATCCCCATTCTCAGGTCCCTTGAGCATTTCACTTCCTACGGACTACCATCACTTTCGTTGTCCTCACATGGGCGATATACTGACAATGGACTTCTTATGTGGGATGGAATGAGAAACAGGCTTTCTTCTTTGACATCCAATGGTGGAGGTGCATTTTCTCTCACCAAAAATGCCAGCCTCACCCACTCACCTACCTGGCTTCACCACAGTCTTCCAGACCAAAGTCCCATGTCTTTTGTCAGTAATTTCAAGTTGAATGGGTTCCTTCATCTGCCCAGCATAGAATTTCGAGAAGGACTGGATTTCTCCAGGGCTCCTGTAGGACAATTTCAACTCCTAGAGGAAACATAGCAGTTGACTTAAGCAGTGGAGGGTGGAAAGGCCCAGCTCCCTACAGTGAACTGGCCAATGGAACTTTCCCCCTGTTATCTTTACAATGTCCTAGCTGGTTGAGAAGGAAATAGAGGGAGAGAGGTAAACATCCTTGTTTTGTTTTGTTTTGTTTTGTTTTACAGAGTCTTGCTCTGTTGCCCAGGCTAGAGTGCAGTGGCACAATCTCGGCTCACTGCACTGCACACGTCCGCTCCCAGGTTCAAGTGATTCTCCTGCCTCAGCTTCCTAAGTAGCTGAGACTGCAGGTGCGCACCACCGTGCCCAGCTAATTTTTGTATTTTTAGTAGAGATGGGGTTTCACCGAATTGGCCAGGCTAGTCTGGAACTCCTGACGTCGTGATCTGCCCCCCTTGGCCTCCCAAAGTGTTAGGATTACAGGCATAAGCGACCGCACCCAGTCGGTAAACATCCTTTTAAATTTACAATGTTAGGAAATAATTTTATTCTATGAAAGCAAGAGTAAACTAGCTCTCAACACCCCATGAATCAGAGAAAAATGATCTGAGCTGAGTACAAAAATCTTAGGTGTTGGCTGGGCACGGTGCCTCACGCCTGTAATCCCAGCACTTTGGGAGGCCGAGGCGGGCGGATCACCTGAGGTCAGGAGTTTGGGACCAGCCTAGCTAACATGATGAAACCCTGTCTCTACTAAAAATACAACAAATTAGCGGGCTGTGGTGGCAGGTGCCTGTAATCCCAGCTTCTTGGGAGGCTAAGGCAGGAGAATGGCTTTAACCCGGGAGTTGGAGGTTGCAGTGAGCCAAGATCAAGCCACTGCACTCCAGCCTGGGCGACAAGAGCGATATTCCATCTCAAAAGAAAAAAAAAACCTTAGGTGCTGAGGCTCCTCATTAATAACTCTACTAACAGGATCTCAGACTGTAGAGAAATGTGGGAAAACTGGCAAAGGCAGCTCATCAGGTCTGTCCTGGCCTTGCTGGGAAGCCAAGGGTCAGATGTGGCACTGTGCTTTCACGTCCTCCTCTTCATTCTGCACCCGACTTCCCCAGGATTCCTAAGGAAAGCTGCCCTGGGGAATAGGAGCTACCCTCATAGGCAGGACAGAATTAGGAAAAGCTTAGTTCGTGCAAATCTCTAGTTTCTTTAGGAAACAAGCCCTACGATTCTTGGAAAATAGCAATTTAAAAATTCTAAGAAGTGAGGTCCTTGGTTCTTTTTTTTTTTTTTTTCTTTTTTCTTTTTTTTGGAGACGAAGTCTCACTCTGTCACAGAGGATGGAGTGCAGTGGCTCGTTCTCGGCTCACTGCAACCTCCGCATTCCAGGTTCAAGGGATTCCCCTGCCTCAGCCTCTGAGTAGCTGGGACTACAGGCACCTGCCACCACGCCCAGCTAATTTTTTGTATTTTTAGTAGAGACGGGTTTTCACCGTGTTAGCCAGGATGGTCTCAACCTCCTGACCTCATGATCCATCTGCCTCAGCCTCCAAAAGTGCTGGGATTATAGGCGTGAGCCACAGCCCCTGGCCTAGGTTCTCCATCTCTTTAAAAGGAAGATGAATCTAAGGAGATTTTACCTTGCTCAAGATTATCACCTCATATTACAACTGCCATTTCTTTTTTTATGGTGGTTTTTTTTTGTTTTTTTATTTTTTTGGAGACAGAGTTTTGCTCTGCCACCCAGGCTGGAGTGCAGTGGTATGATATCGGCTCACTACAACCTCCACCTCCCACGTTCAAGCGACTCTCCTGTCTCTGCCTCCTGAGTAGCTGGGACTACAATTGCTTGCCACCAATCCAAGCAAATTTTTGTCTTTTCAGTGGAGACGAGGTTTCACCATGTTGGCCAGGCTGGTCTTGAACTCCTGACTTCAAGCGATCTGCCCACCTTGGCCTCCCAAAGTGCTGGGATTACAGGCGTGATCCACCACGCCCAGCCTTATGATGGCCATTCCTTATGCCATGTTTACTGTTTGTATTTTTATTGAAGGAACTCCCTGTATTTTATTTATCTCCATATCAACAATGTTTATGGAAGGTCCTGCCACAACCAAGAATGTATCTTGCCTGAAGGACAACTGAGCTTCTGGGAACTGTCTGACTGGTGTTACAGAGATAGAAAGTCATTTAGGAAGATAGGGTGAAGAGATTCCCCAGCAAAAAACTTTCCTTCTAACAAGAAGCAGCTCAGAAATTGCTCCCTTTCTAACCTCAGGCAGTTCAAAGAAATCACTTGTCTCCTAACAAAGAGCAGCCTGGAAGATCAGGCTGTAAAACACAGATAAGCACTGGGCGCGTGGTGGCCCAATGCTGGTAATCCCAGCACTTTGGGAGACCAAGGCAGGTGGATCACCTGAGGTCAGGAGTTCAAGACCAGCCTGACCAACATGGTGAAACCCCGTCTCTTTCACGTCCTTCTCTTCGTTCTGCACCCAACTTCCCCAGGATTCCTAAAGAAAGCTGCCCTGGGGAATAGGCACTAACTGCATAGGCAGGACAGAATTAGGAAAAGCTTAGTTCATGCAAATCTCTAGTTTCTTTAGGAAACAAGCCCTATAACTCTCAGAAAATAGTAATTTAAAAATTCTAAAATTTATAAAAAATACAAAAAATTAGCCAGGCATGGAGGCACACAACTGTAATCTCAGCAACTTGGGAGCGTGAGGCAGGAGCATCCCTTGAACCAAAGAGGTGGAGGTTGCCGTGAGCACAGCAGCCTGGGACACAGAGTGAGACTGTCTCAAGAAAACAAACAAACAACAACAAAATCTATAATGGACTGAGATGCATTTTTTCCCATTCAAATTGGAAAACAATTAAATTTTGATACTTTATTCTAGAGATGGATATTTTGTTGGAAAATCTCGTCCTTTATTCTTGAGAACTTATATTGTGAGAAATCTTTGAAAATCTCTTTGGAAATGTACTAGCTTTAACTTGGTGAGTACTCTTTGAATCAGTCATTTCTCTTAGGACACTCTAGCTTCACATGAAAAACATAAAACTGTATTAGTTGAAATATTTATTGCCAGGGCACTTGTTATGAGAAATTACAAGCAGTTCAACTAAATGCTGAATAATAATGAAGTGATTTAAAAAGCTCTAGGGTTTTAGCTACATGGCATATTATGTCCTATTAAAATAACAGGGAGGAATAATTTCAATTGTGCAGAAATATACAGTAATCTCCAGTAAAAATACATAAAATATAATACATAGCATATATATATATATATATATATATATATATATTTTTTTTTTTTTTTTTAAGACGCAGTCTCACTCTATTGCCAAGGGTAGAGTACAGTGGTGCAATCTCAGCTCACTGCAACCTCCAGCTCCCGGGTTCAAGTGATTCTCCTGCCTCAGCCTCCTGAGTAGCTGGGATTACAGGCGCACGCCACCACACCTGGCTAATTTTTTGTGTATTTTTAGTACAGACGCGGTTTCACCATGTTGGTCAGGCTGGTCTCAAACTCTTGACCTCGTGATCCGCCTGCCACGGTCTCCCAAAGTGTTGGGATTACAGGCTTGAGCCACTGAGCCCAGCCAAGGTATCATATTTCTTCATTCAAACACCTTAACAAATACTCCTTAAGTGACTTAGCTAGGCAAGATGTCAGGCCTGCAGGGAACTATAACAGAGAAGCTGAAACTTCAATTTAGAAAACTGAACGTACACTTTTAATCACAAGATAAGTGCCCCAAATGCTAAAATGTTACCTCTGCCTGTGTTAAGGTTTTGGAAATATTTAATTTGATTAAGACTATTTTCCTGTATTTTCAATTTTTTAAAACTTTGTATTTGCGATTAATGAAAAAAATTGCATCTTGCTAAAATTCTTCTATTTGTTTCAAAAGTACAAAATATTCTGAAATCTGTTGTTAGATTTGAATTCTACCAACCGTGGGTATTATTTCCAGATGAGCAGAATTAGACAGAATATAATGGGCACCAAAGGTCAGGGGTTGCATTGAGGGTGAAGTCTGTAGACGCACACCACAGAAGCGATCCTCCTCATCATCTATCATCTGAGGGATAAGGGGAGAAACATTAGAAAGCACACAGAAAAAGAAATAAGCACAAATAGTGGCATAAAAGTTTTCTATATATTGTATTAAGTAGCATGTAGGATATGATTCAGTTGATGTAAAGATTGAGATGATGGGGCCAGGCACGGTGGCTCACGCCTGTAATCCCAGCACTTTGGGAGGCCGAGGCAGGTGGGTCACCTAAGGTCAGGAGTTTAAGACCAGCCTGGCCATTATGGTGAAATCCTATCTCTACTAAAAATACAAAAATTAGCTGGGCATGGTGACTGACGTCTGTAATCCCAGCTACTTGGGAGGCTGAGGCAGGAGAATCGCTTCAACCCAGAAGGCAGAAGTTGTTGCAGTGTGCTGAGGTCATGCCACTGCACTCCAGCCTGGGCGACAGAGTGAGACTCCGTTTCAAAAAAATAGATTGAGATGATAGATAGATTATATTTTTATAATCTATAAATTTTATAATCTGTTAAAATTTTATAATATATTAAATTTTATAATCTATTTTAATAAAATATGAAAATAATTTATTGCTCCATAATTTTCACAGTGGATACACCCATGTATCCAACACCCAGAAGGAGATACAGAGATAAATAGACAGATAGGTGGTAGAGTGGTAAACTAGATAGATAGATGTAAACATGCCTCTATGCAAAATAGATATGGTATTAACCTTTTGCTGATGGACATCTCAGAGCCAAAGGGTTTCTTGTGAATGGTAAACTTATCATAAACTCCTGTACAGTTTGATTTTATTTTTACACTGTGGAGAGTTTGGCCAGTTCTTGTGAATGGTAAACTTATCATAAACTCCTGTACAGTTTGATTTTATTTTTACACTGTGGAGAGTTTGGCCAGGGGACTTATAAAACCAGAGGACAGTGATTCCTTTTTGGTGCCTCAGCCGAGGACTGGTAGCTCAGCTGTGTCTGTGAACACGCCTCTGATGGGGTGAGGCAGATGTCACTTTCCATCACAGGCTGTTGTGAGATGCTCGGCCACCTGAGCACCGGGAGCAGATACAGAAGAGTGAGGTCCCCTCTGGAGAGGCCAAGAAGCTAGAGCAGAAGCAGACCTCAGAATTATCTGAGCAGGCACCAAGGACATAGAATGAATTCAAACAACAATAAGAAACCTTCAGAAGCCTCAGGTGCAACTCAATAGAGACTTTATGGAATTAATTCAGCAAGAATTTAAACTAAAAAGCAATTGACAGTAGTGGCATTACTAGTCCAGCTGTTAAGACACCCTTGGGGTAATGACTGGGAGAGGGTTCAAGGGGGCCCTCCCAAGAGAAGTTGGAGATGTTCTGTATCTCTTCCTCTGGGTGCTGGATACATGGGTTGTCCACTCTGAAAATTATGGAGCAATACATTATGTACATATTATATTAATTTTAAAATATCAGTGATAGTAATGAAGAAATAATGGGCAAAGCTGAAATATAAACTGGGCCTGGAAGATCACCAAAAGAAAAAAATACAAGTTATATTGAGCAAAGGGATGAAATCATGATGGGGAGTAAGCAGTGAAGGGATGTGGAGACCTATCCAGGAAGCATCACACATATGCTCATAAAGAGAACCAGCTCCAGAAGGATAAAAAGAAACCGACGGAGGAAAAAGACATGATGGACCTGCCTTCTCTGATGAATGATTATTTTAAATGAACCAATATATTCAATGTAAATTATAACAACAACAGATTGGAAGTATAAGAACCAAAGACATCAGTATAACATTGGCAGGGTTATCATTATGGACCGATTTCTGAAGAGGTCAAGACATACTGCTGTGATTTATTTTCAAAGAATGGAATAGCATTCTTTATTTGTTAGAGTTCTTACTATATACACATATATTTTTCTCCTATAGTATGAACATTCCATGTAATATCTTAGGTTGTCATGTTTTCTACTATTTCTTACTGATGTATCCCCATCCCCAAAAATAGTGCCTGAATATATAAGGCACATAATAAATATGTGCTGAATAGATATATTAGTCTGTTCTCATGCTGCTGTAAAGGACTGCCCAAGACTGGGTAATCTATAAATGAAAGAAATTTAGTTGACTCATGCTCCACATGGCTGGGAAGCCTCACAATGATGGTGGAAGGCAAAGGAGGAGCAAAGTCACATCTTACATGGCCGCAGGCAAGAGAGAGCCTGTTCAGGAAACTCCCCTTTATAAAACCATCAGATCTCGTGAGACTTAATTGCTATCACAAGAACAGCACAGGAAAACCTGGCCTCATGATTCAATCACCTCCCACAACACGTGGGAATTATGGGAGCTACAATTCAAGATGAAATTTGGGTGGGGACAGCATTACAGTAATGGAAGTATGAAAAATCAGGTGTTATGACACTCCCAAAGGAACATATAATTTCTACCAATGGATCCTAACCAAAATGAAATTTTCATCTATTGGTGCTGAATATTGAACCACATGCAACAATCTCCATAAAAATTTAGGACTACTGAGAAGGGAGCTTCCTTTTCTGGGTCTCAAGGAGGAGATGGGGCAGAAGAAAATAATATGCAGAGATTTCACTGCATTTTATTTTATTTTTATTTTATTTTATTTATTTTAAGGTGTTATGACACCTCTAAAGGAACATAGTAATTGTCTACCAATGGATCTCAACCAAAATGAAATTTTCAAAGTGCCAGATAAATACTCAAAAGACTGAGCTTAAAGAAGCCTAGTAAGAGATGCAAGATAAATCTGAAAACCAACACAAAAAAATCTGAAAATTCATTCATGTGATGTGAACTAGAGATTTACCATGAGATAGATATCTAAAAAAATTAACATCTAGAAATGAAAGATTCACTGAAAATATTACAAAATACAGTGGAAAGCTTTAATCATAGACTAGAACAAGCAGAGGAGAGAACCTGAAGACAAGCTCTTTAATTAACCCCATCAGGCTAAAATAAAATAATAATAACAGAAGTATGGGGCTATTACAAAGCAATGAAACTTATGAATCATCAATATTTCCAAGGGAGAAGAAAAAGGAAAAAACTTAGAATCTAAAAAAATAACTGACAAAAATTTTCCCAGTCTAGCAAGATATTTAAAGATCTGGATAAAGGAGGCCCAGTGATCACCAGCAAAATACCCTGCAACATGAACTTCACCATAATATATGGTCATCAGACTGTCTAAGGCCAAGTGAAGGGAAATATCCAAAACTCAGCAACAGAAAAGCATCTAGTCACCTAGAAAGGAAACTCCATTCGACAACAGTAGACATCCCAAGCAGGAACCATACTAACCCAAGAGAGAATGAGTTCTACTTTCAAACTGCTTAAAAAAAAACCCTGCCAACCACAGATGCCACCTACTCACTAATTTTTGTATTTTTAGTAGACACGGGGTTTCACCACTTTGGCCAGGTTGGTCTCCAGTTCCTGACCTCAGGCGATCCGCCCCCCTCAGCCTCCCAAAGTGCTGGGATTACAGGCGAGAGCCATCGCCCCCAGCCAATTTTCTCCTGTATTTAAATTACCCACAGTAACCACCTTGAACACACAGGCATGCTCTCCTTGTGATTGGGATGTTAAAAGATGTTAGCACCAGCATTGTGCAAGTTTTAATGAAATCTTCCTGGCATAATCTTCCCACCAAGGCTGGAGGCATGGTAGCTAAGACTTTGTTCAGAAACACAGCAGCTATAAAGGCTGCAGAAAGCAGAACATCTGCTTCATCACTAACCTAAGAGAGGGTGTGGGACCATCAGCCTTTTGTAAATGCTAGAGGAGATGCCACTGAAAAGGAAGGAGTTACCCCAGAGATGTGAGCAAGTGAGACTGTCATTCCGGATATTATCCATCTAAAATTTGGTGAGGCTTGACACGGTGACTATGCCTGTAAATTCAGCACTCGGGAGGCTGGGGAGGCAGGAGGGTCACTAAAGGTCTGGAGTTCAAGAACAGCCTGGCCAACATAGTGAAACCCATTTCTCAATGAAAATACAAAAAAGTTAGCCAGGCATTGCGCATTTGCCTGTAATCCCAGCTACTCGTGAAGGCTGAGGCAGGAGAATCGCTTAAAACCCAGGAGGCGGAGGTTGTAGCGAGATTGGCTACCACCACTGCATTCCAGCTTGGGTGACAGAGCAAGACCCTATCTCAGACATAAATAAAAATAAAATGAAATGTGGTGAGAGAATCTCTGCATATTATTTCTCTTAACCATCTCCTCCTTGAGAGCTGTGAGAGGGAAGGTCCCTTCCCCAGTAGTCCTTGAATTTCAATGGGGATTCTGCATGTGGCTCAATGTTCAGCACCTATAGGTGACTCCTGGGAGAGTGATCCATGTTCTCTCCATGAAACTGTGCTGCCCTTTCTTGTTCCACTGAGGCCGAGGGGATAACTCTGGAAATATCATTGTCATCTTCTGGTCTCCCAAATCGCTCAGCTTACCTTCACAGCAAGGCGTCTCTGGGGACAAGGTACAAGTGGAACTTAATGTCTTCGGGTGGGGTGAAAATAGAGCAACGTGTTGGAGGTGATGGGATGGAGAGGCGAGTCCTCTGGCGATCCGCAGCAGGATGCCCATCAGGAGAGAAGCTGGGGTTGTCCAGGACAGCATAGAAAGGTTCCACCTCGGGATGGACGCTTTAAGTGGACCATCCCTTCATCCTTAAAATGGGCCACGAGGAACCAGGAGATGCCCACCTCACCTTGCCGCAGGAGAACCGCAACAGCAGTGAGACAGCACGCGCCCCGGCAGCCCCCACAGCCTCCCGTCACCCTGCATTACCTTGGAGGGAGAGTGAAGTGGGGAGAGGTGGATTTCGGCCACAGCCTCCCTCTGGCTCTGGTGGCAGTGAAAGCAAACAGCGGGGCCGGCCACCAGCCACTGTTCATGGTGCTGCAGGTCCAGGGCCAGGTGCTGACTCCAGGAACCAAACGCAATCACATCGTGACCGCATCCCTACCATGAAGCCGAGGCCGGTGGCTGACCACAGATACCAGCCAGCAGTGGGGAACCGAAGGCTGAAAGGAGCCAGAGTGATGTCATGATGGCAGAACCCCAGGACTTGGATTTAAGCAGCGATGTGCAGAGGGAGGTGGGATTTGCTGAAGTGTCTAGACCCATCTGCGTCTTTCACTACATTAGAAAACGCTGGGGAGTTCATTAACCTCTCTGGGCTCCAATTTCTCTGCATCTCTATATATCGAATTAAAATACCAATTTCACAGTGCATGAAATAAACATATTATTGATGAAATTTTAGCTATCATAAGGACAGAGCTAATACACTTCGTTTATATCAGAGCTGTTTTCAAATCAGCATCTTCCATTCTTACCTGCATTGTTTGCACTCTTATTGATCAACTCAACATCCACATTTCCTTCAGGCCCCAGAAACTGATCATATTTATAATCTTGTTTGAACATAAAATGGAGTTCAGCATAAATAGAGGAAATCATATGATGCATTTGAGTAAAAACAGCTCCTGAAAAAAAAAAAGATACTAGACACATAAGAGGTAAAGGTTGAAGAGGCATGGCCTGAAGGACTCCTGGAGGCTAAATTGCACAGGTGCTGTTGGGATACAGATATTGAAAGAGAACAGAGTGACCAGAATATGGAGTTTTGCTCATGACTAAAAAAGTATACCCCCAAATTCCATAGGGCTTTCTGGGAAGCCAGGCTGGACAGCTTTTTGTGGGAGGCACCGCTTGCTGAGGACTGAACCAATGCACCTACATTTCTACTGGCCCCAAGTAGCAGATGACATCTTCTGCTGGTGAGGCAAGTCCAGGTCAGAAAAGGATCGAGCTTTTCTGCAAGGTGAAACAGCGTGCATCCTTCCTAGTCCCTGCCGCTGTCCCCAGCCACCAGGACCATGCCCTGGTTCCCCTGAGCATTTCTGTGCCCTGGCGGTGAGAGGCTTACATGTCCCTCTATTTAAATTTGCACAGTGCACTGTGCCAGGTAAGGAAAATCACTCCTGATCTTCACTGCACAAAAGACTTCTAAATTGTCTTCTCCTCCACATAAAAGCACAGAACATTTCCATCAATCCACACGCCCTTCACTCCTCTCCCTATTAGCCCATTACCTGAAACTTGTTCTTCTGAAGATTCCTGGTCTTCTGATACGCTGGAGATTGGGATCCTCATTTCACAAAAAAAGATGAAAATATCAAGAATTAGTTGATGAACATGAAGACAATGTTATTAAAAACTGGAGCTGCACTGTCCAGTGAACAGTCGCCACCAGATGTGGTATTTAAATTTGTATGAATTAAACTTAGGTAAACTTGAGTTTCTCAGTTGCACTATGCATATTTCAAGTAATTAACACCTACATGTCACTCACGGCTGTAACACTGTGTAGCAGAAAACAGAACACTCCCATCATCACAGAAAGTTCTCTCTACAGGATGGGCCTAGACTACCAAAAAAATAGAAGACATTTTGAATAAATATATTTTTATACAGATGTATAAATAATAGAGCTAACGTGCTGCCTTGAGCCAAATGTGTCTTGATATCTCTCTTTGACTGTGCCCATGTTCAACGTGCACAGCCAGTCAGCTTAAATTGCTCCAATTGGTATCATATGATGTTGGTATCAAAGACTGAAGCAGGATGAATCAATGCATGAAATGCATGCATTTATATTCCAAGGTAATTCCAACCTTGACCACCTGGGAAGCTTCTTTAAAAACAACCCAATACCCAGGTCACAGCCCACACCAATTGAATCAGAAGTCTGGAGGTGGGACCGCAGCATCAGTGCTGTCAAAGCCTCACAGTTGATTCCAATATTAGCCAACATGGGCTCCATGTTCTACAGGGTCAGTCAATGGTTCATCAGGTTAGGAAGTGATGGAGGTCTCCTTTAGGTCAAGATATTCACTGGCCAATATGACAGCCACTAGCCACACATGCCTATTTACATCTTAGTTTCTAAAATTGTTAAATGTGGAAAATCAGTTCTCACATTTGAAGTAGCCATATTTCAAGTGCTCAAAAGCTACACATGGCTCTTGCCCGCCACCATGTAAGACATCCGTTTGCTCCTCCTTTGATTTCGCCATGATACAGAGCCTCCCAGCCATGTGAAACTAAAAGAATTTTTCTGGGGAATGGACATAATGACGTCTCTGGCAACAAAATCTGCTTTGGAGAGCAGGACCCCAGGAACAGAGGATGAGGTCTCAGGTTGGTCTTCAACCTCCAGCCCCAAGAAATCCTTCCACCGTGGCCTCCCAAAGTGCTGGGATTACAACTGCACTCAGCCTGAGCATTACTGTTTGATAGATATTCCCAAATCCCTCTCTACAAAAGGTTACAACAGTGAACACCTCCATCAGCTGAATATCCGCTTAAAAGCAATTGTTGAGAAATTCTGAAGTTCAAAACCAAACTGTAGAAAAAAGTCATTGATTAAAAAAAAAAAAAGAAAGAAAGCAAAGAAAGAAAAAATAATTGAGGAATTATTACTAAAGGCAACTTTGTCTAAAAAAAAAAAGAATCATTTGATTGCAATGCAAACCAGGTTTCAGCTGAACATAAAGCCTGTTAAAGACATCAACAACAAGAGCAAAAATCCTGAATATTTTTTCAGCAATTCTAATTAAAGTATGTATCTTTAAAAAAAAAAAAAAAAAAACCACATGTGGCCAGTGCTTCCACACTGGACAGCACAGACAGGGAACATTTCCATCCTGGGCGAGAACTCTGGCTTGGACAGCACACTTTTAGAACGCCTGCTTGCAGTCCAGTTGACCAGAGGGTCCTGCTTTGGGGTATTTGGCATTGGTTTTATTCTATTTTTACTATGATTATTTTTTAAATTTATAGATTTAAAATTTAAATCTCCATCTCAATTTTTAAAATATTAATAAAATAATAATAACAATAATAAAAGATTTAAAATTTAAATCTCGCTCTGTTGCCCAGGCTGGAGTGCAGTGGCACAATCTCGGCTCACTGCAAGCTCTGCCTCCCGGGTTCAAGTGATTCTCTTGCCTCAGCCTCCCAAGTAGCTGGAATTACACGCATGCACCACCACGCCCAGCTAATTTTGTACTTTTAGTAGAGCTTCGTATTTCTCCATGTTGGTCAGGCTGGTCTCAAACTCCTGACCTCAGGTAATCTGCCCGCCTCAGACTCCCAAAGTGCTGGGATTACAGGCATGAGCCACCACACCTGGCCCGATTGGGTCATGCCTCGGGTAATCTGCCCGCCTGTGACTCCCAAAGTGCTGGGATTACAGGCATGAGCCACCACACCTGGCCCGTATTAACAAGTGCTTGCATTGCTATAAAGGAATATCTGAGACGAGTAATTTACAAAGTAAAGAGGGTTTGTCCTTAGTTCATGGCACTCCAGGATGTACAAGCATGGACCAGCTTCTGCTTGGTTTCTGGGAGGCCTCGGGAGGTTTGAATCCCATGGTGGAAGGTGACGGGAACAGGCCTGTCATATGATGTTAGTGAGCAAGAGTGTGAGGCGGGGAGGTGCCACACACTTTTTTTTTTTTTTTTTTTTTTTGAGACGACTCGCTCCACACCAGGCTGGAGTGCAGTGGCCGATCTCAGCTCACTGCAAGCTCCACCTCCCGGGTTTACACCATTCTCCTGCCTCAGCCTCCTGAGAAGCTCGGATTACAGGTGTAGGCCACTAAGCCCGGCTAATTTTTGTATTTTTAGTAGGGATGGGGTTTCACCACGCTGGTCAGGCTGGCTTCAAACTCCTGACCTTCAGGTGATCCACCTGCCTCCACCTCCCAACGTGCTGGGATTGCAGGTGTGAGCCACTGGGCCCAGCCCTTTTTTTCCTACTTCTTATGAGATAGAAACTGTTGAAATAAAAACTTATGAGAACAAAGAAGAAAAATAATATATATATACTAATTTTTATGCAAATAACCTACATGTCTTTGATTCTTATGAATGTACATGAACCAGAGGAGCAAGATGTCAAATCTCTAATTTTTCCCCAACAAATATATGACCCTTACAAATAATTTCTCACTCTGGCTTCAGCCTGAGAAAAAAATTACAGTTTTCATTTCTTGCAGTTTTTTGCATAGCCTTAGCCTTGTGGTACCTGATGCATCTACACTGATACTGGATCCATGGTTCCAGGAAAACACAAATGGAGTTGGCATGTGAGCATGTCAGGAGAGGCTCGATGGTTGGCAATTTCCTCACTGTGATGTAGTGAAAGTAGCCCAACTTTAGGATGCCATCCTTAGAGATGCCATCCTTAGAGACATCCATCCTTAGAGATGCCCATCCATAGAGATGTCATCCTTTAGAGCATGCCATCCTTAGAGACATCCATCCTTAGAGATGCCATCCTTAGAGACATCCATCCTTAGAGATGCCACCCTTAGAGATGTCCATCCTTAGAGATGCCTTAGAGATGCCATCTTAGAGATGCCAATCCATAGAGATGCCATCTTTAGAGATGCCTCTAGAGATGCCTCTTTAGCATGCCCATCCTTAGCGATGTCCATCCTTCGAAATGCCTTAGAGCTGTCCATATCCACGGAGATGCCATCCTTAGGAGATGCCACCCTTAAGAGAGATGTCCATACTTAGACCTGGCATCCTTAGAGATGTTTTACAGATGCCATCTAGAGACGCCCATCCTTAGAAATGTCTTAGAGATGCTCATCCTTACAGACACCTTCTTTGATGCTCCATCCTATAATAAAATGCCATTCCTCCACATTTTTACTGAATTAACTGCATCTCTGTTTCCACACAGTAAATAATGATCTTATCTCAGGAGTGCATGCCTTGATTCTCAATCCTGATGTTCATCACAGTCTGTCACACTTGGCAGTGCTCACTACTGGCTTCTGAAAGGATACTGTTTTTGTAAACTATAGGAGCATAAGAAGGGCCCTACTCTTCTATCCTTCATTGGTCCTAAACAGGAGGGAATGTTAACCTGATGGTTAGTTTATCAACCCTGGATGGACTGAGCTTATTTGAAGGTAGGATCTCTTTATTTAGGGCGAGCGTGTCAAGGATGATGGACACCAGAGAAATCTGCATTCTACGCTCACAGACATCACTCAGCAGTGACAGACCTGTCAAATTGTTGCTTAACCTCTCTGAGTATCAGCTTTCTAACTTGTAAAATAAGGATACAGTACTCTCATCACAAATCCTTGTGGTGATTAATCATAGAAGGCTAAAAGTACTTAGCACAAGAGCTAGGAAGCACTGGGTTCCCAAAGCAAACAATTCATCCTAGTCCGTGGTCTTTTATGCATGCCAGAGCATCGGTCTCAATCATTTCAGACCTTTTTCTTTTTTTTTTTTTTTTTTTTTTAATGGAATTTCGCTCTTATCGCCCAGGCTGGAGTGCAATGGCACAATCTTGGTGCACTACAACCAGGTCTGCGATTCCTCGTGGCCTCAGCCTCCCGAGTAGCTGGGACATGCCTGCCACCCTGCCCAGTTAATTTTTGTATTTTTAGTAGAGACAGGGTTTTCACCACGTTGGCCAGGCTGGTCTCGAACTCCTGACCTCAGAGATCTGCCTGCCTCGGCCTCCCAAAGTGCTGGGATTACAGGTGAGAGCCACCATGCCCGGCCAAGGCTGCTATTTTTAAAAAGTATGGACTGAGAAGGTTGTAAACGATATAAATGTATTTGTCACAGCTCTAGATGCTGGAACATCCAGGATCAAAGTGCTGGTAGACTCGGTGTCTGCTTCTGATTCACAGAGGGCAGACTTCTTGTTCTGTCCAAGCATTGGAGAGAAAGGAGCCTCCAGGTCTCCTTCATGAGGGAACTAATTCCATTCACGAGGGCTCTACCTTATCACCTGACACTTCCTCAAAGACCCCATCTCCTAATAACATCACATTGGAAGTTAGGATTTCAACATGCGAATATTGAGGAAATACAAACATTCATTCTACAGCAGTGTCTGAATTGCATAATGGAATATTTGGTCAGATTAATTTGCTTTTGAGTTCCAAGACCATGAAGATGCTGCATTCGCTTTCTACAAATGAGAGATAAGCCGCGCTGATGAGGAGCCGCTGAAACGCACAGGGAGAGGGCTTACTAAGTCAGGGCTGTATGGTTCTGCTCTCTGATCTGTGCCACGCTGTGGCATTGTCAAGAGCATGGTCAAGGCCATAGGTCCATGCATCAAGGAAAGAGCTGGAAGAACAGCTCCTAGACTGCTTTTGCTCAGGTATGAAGCAGCCATGGTGAAAATCAGAAGGGAGAGAGAAGGTGTAAAAAGTACACCTGGGCCGGGCGCGGTGGCTCACGCCTGTAATCCCAGCACTTTGGGAGGCCGTGGTGGGCAGATCAAGAGGTCAAGAGATCAAGACCATCCCGGCCAACATAGTAAAACCCTGTCTCTACTAAAAATACAAAATTAGATGGGCATGGTGGTGCACACCCGTAGTCCCAGCTACTGGGGAGGATGAAGCAGGGGAATCGCTTGAACTGGAGATGCGGAGGTTGACATGAGTTGAGATTGTGCCACTGCACTCCAGCCTGGGTGACTGAGGGAGACTCCGTTTCAAAA